AAAGATATAAGCATGTTCCGTAAACAGATGGGTGGGCACCTCCTCCATTATATGCGCACGCCTACTGTCACGAAATGATTTCAGCTTAAGTCAGAGGAGAGAGACAGCATAGGAGCCTTTTTTGGGAAAGCAAAATATCTAGGGTGTTTGACAAAGAAAGTAACCTCAAGCCAGAAAAGATCATCAATTTTCCAGTTGGTCTCCGTTATGGCGATTAAAGATATTATTTAGTAAACATTTAAATGGGGAATGATGTGTCCAGGAAGAAGAACACGTCGGTGAAATCCATCAGAAATAATTCCACTTCCCGGACAGTGCTGCATGTATCCGTTCATTTGAGGATTTAAAACCGCGTCGTCCCGAAGTAAATACACAAAATCACAAAACCCCGCACACCAAGCGTCTAGTGGAAGCCAGGTTGCTCTGACAAGGAGCATGAAACCATTTTAGAGTTCACAGGACTAAACAGACATCATCGTGAACGAGGCGTCGACACCGACTGCCTTCTTCTGCAGTCTCACTCACGATGACCCAGAAACCGAAGTCTGACTGGCAGACATATGTTGCGAAGAGCAGAAAGTCAGCACAACTGTCTGGCCATCGCTAGCCCACCCACTTACAAAGGCCTTGCAACATCGTTTGGGTAAGCATGCACAGACAAAACTTCTCATGGGTACCCTGCTCCTAAAACAGTATCTTGAGGGTCTTTATCGTTTGTCAGTCCTAACTCTCTGGAAAATTTGCGTTAGCATGCCTTAGAAAAACCAGTAGTTTGATAATTCCAAAAACGAACAGACATATGATATGCAAGTGGCCACGTTTCAGGAGACGTCAGTCTCATACCAGAGTTGCAATGCCAGGCGTGTTTTGCACAACATTAAGAAATTAAAGATAGACTTTTTCCCTAGCCAACAAAATCCGAGCTCTAAGTAGACAAGCGAAATCTATTAAATTATTCTACTTAACTTCAGTGCATGCAACTGCACCTCATATGGATTGGGGTCAAACCAATGGCCCAGACGTTTGCACCTGTGCCTAGCACACGTGGGTACAAGGCACTCACTGTGGTTTTCCTTAAAGTACATAAGTTTGGACCGTTTCCCGTGGGCGTTAGGGTAACTTCTGACTTCAGAGACATCAAGACATCAAAATTCAGCTCAGTGACAACGTGGGGAGCGTATGGATATCAATTTTTATTGACATATATAGGTTATCAAGGCCCTCCGGAAAAATTATATGCCTCCCAAAATCCCTGCAACGCAGCTCGACTTTGATTAGGCAGTGAAAATTGGCTCTTTTTTGAGGATATTATTGCAGCGACAAGGGAAGGCCCTCCATGGCAGGGGGGATGGGGATGAGACCGAACCTTGAGTGTCGCTTCAGACGTCATCAGCCAGACATACAATGCCACCTAAGACGACAATATTGTTGCGTAGTAGAAATGATAAGTGATTTAAAAGAGGAGTTTGGCTGAGTGATAAGAAGCAACTAGTTAAGAGGCGTGGTGGGTCTGAATCTGTCAGGCGGGCAGTTTACTCCGACATCGCCATCCGCGTGAAACCTTTAGCGCAAGAGTGTTTAAGGGATGGAAGACGATATCGCAAATTAATTGCAAAGAGGGTCAGGGTATGCGAATATGGATTCCCTGCATTACTGGCCAATTTCCAGTAGGTTTAAATTTTTGGTCAGTGTTAGGATTAAGAGGGTTGAGTTTGAGAAAGTTATCGCTAGGGTTGGCGGTAGAAGAGATAATATGAGTGTCAGGGTCAAGGTCAGGATATGGGAATGGAAATCCATCGAAATTTGGCTCGAGGTCACCTGCGGTACCGGGGGGCGGGAGTTTATATTCCTGCGTCCGACAGAAAGGCGGCAGATTTGACCGTACTTTCGTCTTTCTTTACTTGTGTTGTGCACATACAGTAGACACGCGGACGTTGTGCGCTTTCCTCATTATTTGAACACGTTCTGGACGAAGAGTTTTCTCACGGGGGACATGCTTTCGCACCAATTCGTGGACAACATTGTTTTCAATTTTGGGCAGGAAAGCAACATTTCCTTCTATTCAGGTAAGTTCCTGTGTCAGTCACCACCTCGGGCCACATATGCACATTAATGCGAGAAAACAGTACTACAACAATCGTCGTCAGCTTGGAACCTAACTTTTTTAGTTTGCATAGATCAGATGAAATAAGATGGTGATAAGTAGATTAGTTTCAAAAAAACAGAGACATTTTCTGGCATAAAATGCGGTAAACACGCGTAGAGGCTGCAGTATATTGTAATGCCTC